GTTCAACGCCAATTTCCCTTTTTATCACACAGGATGATAATTGTGCCAGGGATATGCTTCTTAACTCTCACAACTTTTCCGTAGGTGAAGAATATAATGTAGCCAAAATATGCATTACTTTTGCAGGATTTACCAAAATATGAAGGGGATTACATAGGATTTTCCGTATTAGGTATTTTGCTTGACTAAAAATCAGCCGGAAGGGTGTTTCTAGTCATGTTCTGCGTGTTTTTTGAGCTTCATGTTTAATTTCATGGAGCCTCTTTTTGGGGAAAGGGCTTGGTGAGGAAGAAAATTACAATTTGGAATAAATAGCCAATTCAAATGAGTGATGAACCCATTAGAGTAAGATTTCCTGTGTCATATCGATACACATGATTGTGCGTAAGAACAATGAATAAAGAGTGTGTTTTTGTTAGTATCTTTAGTTCATGCGGAAGGCTTTGACACAATTCCGAACTGAACACTGAGAAAAATAAACTGAGGTAAAGACCTTTAAATGATAAGTCAGGAAACAGCTATCGAAAGATCTTTTGGCAAAGGCACCAACAGGCTTAAAATTGGAAGCAATGTCCATTAGCATTACCAAGTGACCACATGAGTACACACTTTGGCACAAGATGAAAGAGTCCAGTGAGGTTGATGGTACAGATTAGTAGCCCACCTAGGTGTGTATGTATGGTTGACTAAGGATGGAATTTTCATTACAGGCCTCTGACTTGCTAAAGGCGGAGAAGTTACAACCGGGATCCATCGACGCCACACTGAGCAGCGCACCTCAAAGGTGTTCATGCGTTACACATTTGCTCTATAGTTTCCACAATCCTTCCATTATATATACGTATATGAACGAACTGCTTCACTACTCATTTAAAAATCATAGCTCATAACACTTTAGTCATGATATGCTTGACTTGGCGTCATTCTTCATTGTCAAGATTGGGTTTTCTCGCCCCCCCCCCCCCAAAGTAGTGTTTCCATTCTTGAAGGGTTCGTCAATAGATTACAAATTGTAAAACCATAGATTGGCCATAGTTTAACATTTGTAAACGTAGAATTGCCTTTACGGCTCCGATGCTGAGTTTAACATGGTTTGGAAAGTAAACAAGTTCAAATTTTGCCCACCTAATTTAAGCAAGATTTAATGACTTGCGGGTTCACAGCGAGATGACAACACCAAAAAGTGCAACAAGAAGAACTGTACCAACAGACCAACGTATACATGCAAATATAAAATAGGATGCTTTTCGTGAATCTCTTTAGACGACACACCGGACAGCTTCATAAGTTTTCTGGTTTTGTAGCCTCTTTTTGCTCCACGCTATGTCACTGTTCCTCTCAATCGCTGTTTCATTCGCTAGATGATTAGTGGTACACATTCTGTGATTTGTGCTTTGAGAAAGTGTTTATTAAGTCTTCCAGCCACTCAAAATGTTGGAATAGCTAACATTGGGTCTCTCATAACAGGCAAAATTTATTGCCACTACGATTTAGTGTAAAGCTGCCTCTATTATGATAGAGACATTGCATAAATAAATGAATCTGAGTGGGTAGATATCAAGAAGTACTCCATGGTACTGTAGAGAAATTACTAAGTTGTCTACTTTTTAGGAGTCTGACTCGGAGCAGTGGGTGATTCAATTCATCATTCAAACAACCAGATTTAATGCACTCATAAATAAATACATGAAATCAATGAAATGAAGTTAGGTCTTATTTCCGTTGGCATCACCTCCCCTCGAAAGTGAGAAACTTCCAGCCTTTTGGATCTGGACCCTTGAACCCAGTGCCTCATATGAGAAGCAACAAAATAACCATTCCAAGGCCACTGCAGGCTTCGATGAATCCAAGTGTTGGCCTACTTGCCTCATTCTCAACCGATCATGCTCAAATCCTCAAAAAAATGTGTTGTTGATTTTTCTGAAAACTAATTTAACCTCTCAAATAGATTTTGGTAAGTTCGGCGCAGCTCGTCGCCTCACTGGAGGAGCAGTTGTTAACTGCGAATTCTGTCATCTCAAGTTAAATAAGGAAACCCACGAGAATAGCGCCAGAAGTCTTTTGAATTGGCAATGTGTACTTCACAAATTATCATCAGGTGTCTAAAGACCCATGGTCAGCCATTTTACAAACAAGTTCAGCCCACACATCATGGTCGACAAACTACGTGACAAGACATTGATGGCCTTGATGTTTTGGCTATGTTTTCTATGAAAGAAACAGTGGGAAGCCCACCTTTTGGCTGATTCTGTCTTGGCTGCTCCTCAGTGTATCAAAACCCATCTTGCAAGCACTGATCAAGCAATGAAGGCATTTCTACACGCGCTAAATAGCAGAATTTATGAATAGAATACTAGACTGGCTTATTTTTAACCTAGTGCGGGCTATTTTCGATTATGGATCATTTAATTGCTATATACTAATTTTGAAGCATTTTTTGCAGGAACTAAATTATGAAGCAGTCTTTTTCAACAGTCTTACGAGCAGATGGAAAAGATTGGGACCATGTTACCGCCTAAGCTGATATTAAAGCGTCACGCAATGAGGAATTTGGGCCACTTTTATAATGGTCAATCACTTTGGCTATCATGTGACAGCTTCGTTTAGTTGGATAAAATGAAGGCTCTAAAAATTTTGGTAGCCTTTCGGTAGATGAGATCACAGCAGACGAAAAGTTCGTGATGTAGACCCTAAAGTCGTTGATGCGTTTTTGCTGCTATCCTCGTTCCAAGTGACCTTTGAAGATGACAGTGAAAATGTGGTCTAGTAGGAATCCCGGTAAGGCTCTAGTTTACATTGGATTGATTGCAGACTCTCATGAATACAGCACCGACGAAAATTCAGCATAGAGCCTAGTAACTAAGCGCATTTGGCATGAACAGATACATGCCACTGGGGAATTTGATTCCTACCTTAGAATTTTGGATTTATAAAGGTTTCTACTAAAAAACAAAAGTAATATCCAAACTTCCGCCAATACTAGGCCATTTGGAACAAACAATCCTTCAGGTATCACACAGTAAATTAGGTTATGTAGGAAAACAAGAGTTTGACGTCTTGAGCAGAATGCGATGGTGGTCTGTAACTACCTATAACACGTGACTTCCGCTAAACCTGAGGTATCCGTCGCAGATTCGAAGGGTAAATCATTTGCCTACTGGAGCTTCAGGAGAGAGAGTAGACTAGAGTATTTTTAGCTCTCTACTTATCACCGTGAAAGGAAACCAGTTCATGACTATAATAAAGCATTATTTCACAAAAGTTTAAGAAACTGCAAAGGCATGAATGGCAACTTCTATCCTGCCCAACCTGCCGAAATGCCGATGGTGAACAACGTACCTGTAACCTAGAGAGACAAATTTTAAAAGAACCATGTAAAACTTTGCAAAAACTTAAAGACGCATGCAATAATTCGTCACCTTCATGACGATGGGTAAGTGTAATGAACGAAATGTTTGCCAAGAGGGCTGTTTAATATACATGCCAAGATCTAGCGACATCGAGAATAGGATTAATACCTGGACCGACGCATCTTAGCATATTAGATCCCCAATTCATGCATTCACAAGTATCTTTAGTTTGAAGTGCTTTTTAGCCCGGAAATAAAGATGCCAATGTAGAAATAAAAGCTATTAGAGCACATACCACAACCAAAGCAGAAATAATTGAAGTTTCTTACTTTGGTCTCTAACGTAAAAATTTGGGACCCTGGTCTTTGAGACCTTACCAAACCAATTTTCTATCAAGAAAGAAGTTAGTACAACTTCAGAAGTCTTTCCCCTTGTAAACTTCCTTAATTGCGGCAAGAAATTGTGCTTTGAGTAATGAAGACTAAATTGAAGTCAAAATGCTTAGTCTTAATACACAGGAAGGTATACAACTGATTACAGTCCATTGTAGCTTCTAAGAAAATTGCAGCTATGGGAAGCACGAGGAAAGGTGCTTAAAGAAGCCGTATTGTAATATGATAGTGGTTTATCCCTCGGTTCTGGTGAGGCGCGACTTTTGTACTTCGAATTAGCCCCCTTGTACCTCGCTGGGTGGGCTGGCCTTGTGGGCCATGCCAATAGCCCAGACACCTTCTCCGTGCTGAATATATATATTCTGCCCGAGTATTTTGTCTTCTTTCGTCTTCAGGGAGTCTCGGGACGCTACAGTATACTATGGGGCACGTGCTAGTTCTCCCACACCTGAGTGGTGAGGTGCCGGGGTCGGCTTCAACAGTACGCCTCTCGACACTGTCCCCGATTTGAGGTCAAGAAACCCCTCCCTTAATTTCTACCTTACTAGACTACTACTTTTCATACTTAAACTCCACTTTCTTTATTCAGTAGTTAGTGGTTTGAAGCCAGAGGGTAAGGAGAGAACCATCCAAGTTACAACTATTGTCCATAAATTAGTGAAGAGCGTTCAATGCCTAATTTGAAATTTGTACCGAGTGTAATATTACGAGATGCAACCTAAAAACAAGTGTTCATTTTAAAGTTCTAGTGGGGTAGATTATCGTCTACTTTGTCAGGAGCCTATGAAATATCGTCAAGGCCTAGTATCGCCGTTAACACGGTTTAATCCCAATATTTTAAACTAAAAGCAAACTAATTAAATAAACTGTTAGAGGCAAAGTGACAGGTACAGATGCTGGTGCATGATATATATTTAGCATAATATTTTTTTGCCTATGCAGCATCACTGTCTGATTTAAATAAATTTATCTGCTGACCAAATAGATGAAAATAACTAGTCACCAAATTTCAGGGATAAATTGAAACACTGTCTGTTCTAAAAGGATCACTGTCAAAATATTTTTCAATTGAGTTCTCACTCTGCATTCATTTTTCACACCACACTTCAAGTTTATGATTTTGCACGGGTTAAACACACTTATTTTGCATGTAAACAGTATATACATGCACGAATAAAATACGAATGGGCATTGTATCCCAAATTGTTGCAATATATTTTTCACAAGTTAGTGCTTTTAATGATCCGTTTGTGAGCACATGTTGACGACGCGCGTCTTTGGGATCACTGGCTTGGTAGGGCTCTCGCCTGGTGGAGGTTGTCCTCGTACGCTTACATGCGTCTCTATTGCTCCCGTTTAGTTTGCATAAACACATTGAAATCTCTTGTTTTTAATAATTGTTGAAATGTTTAGTTCAGTCCCTAAAGTCCTTTGAATACCTTAAACTGATCCAATGTGTCAGTAATTCTAGTAATTTATTTCACGTAATCCGTTTTGCAGTGAGAATGTTTTGCATTGTGAGTACCTATTTTGTAGTTGACAATATGGCAGGAAGGGTAATAGCAAAGGTATCATTTCACACAACCCTTGCGCTTTCTAGCCCTTTAATATTCGTGTGAAACAAGTTCAGAGTGAATCACCGGGTTGCTTTGTTTCGTTTTAGTTGCAGAGACATCTGTACAACTTCAGTTCTATTTTACAAATGGGAAGTCGATATCCGAGCCTACCGAACTCCTCTGTTGTGCACCCGCACGTAATTCGCCTTCTTGGTCAAAACCCTGGCATCATGACTCTGCAGGTACCTTTTATGACGGTTTCATCGTTGACACTTTGGCGTGCTACTACAGGTTCGCAATCAGGAATGATCTAGGATCAATGCATTATCTGCTATTCTTTTATCCCTGTAGGTGTGGATTTGCTGAACTCCTCACCAGTAGTATTTTTGGTGTTGTTATTTGCACTAAAATTATGGCAATATTGAAACAGATTTACCAGAACTGAATAAAAGAGGGAATCGGTCACCCGCGTTGTATGGGTAGAACTTGACGCCACCACCAAGAGGGTTTGAAATGTCTGTGTTGTCATATGCAATTAAAACAACTGCCACTGTCATTTCTTTGCAAATTTACATTTAATCAGGGCACGAATTCCTACCTCGTGGGTGCTGAAGAGGGACCACGTATATTGATTGACACTACAGGGGGTGAAGTCGCAGCAATCAGTAAGTATGTCGACTTATTACAATCGGTGCTTCAAAACCCCATCCATCTTGTGCCGACACCAATGCCGGAGCCTCCAATTTCCACCATACTTCTGACTCACTGGCATCCTGATCACACCGAAGGAATTGCAGCTGTTCAGGTATTTTCCTAATCTTTGCCTATCAGTTAACTGGAAGTGTACACTGTTTTCGATGGAGCTCGATAGAGCTCTCTAATTGTTTGTAGAGGACATGTAGTTATTTACAGACACCAGAGCATACGTACACGTCGCATTATCGGTGCGGTACTCTTCATTGTTTTCATTACTATTTGACCATTATTTTAGGCTCCCAAAAGCGTAGGATAAATTGAATGTGATTAAAGCTTCTACGCTTTACAAATTCAGATTCCATTGTAAAACTTTAAAAGCTTATCGTAGAATTCAAAGTGAGTGCGGTGTGTGGTTACAGAACATATGCCCAGAAACACTTTTATTTTTTTGATTTCTTTGACAAATCACTCAAAGATAAATCTACCATATTAAGGAGAGGAGATCCTCTGATCCTGATATTAAAAGATTAAATTTTTCTTTTATCTAAAATAGTTCGCGATTAACGTGCCTAGAGGTGTAATGCTTAGTGAGTAATGTGATAATTGTTGGCTGTATCAACTGGAGAAGCCGTATCAGTTACCGCGCGAATGGATGACACCGCGCACTTAAAAAGGACAGGCGAAATGAATGATGCTACTTTCACGCACTCTAAGAGCATGTCGGGTGATTTAGATTGTTTGCTGACTGGCTGACTTGTAGCAAAAATTGGCTTTGTAGTAGAATATTCGTTATGCAAATAAAAGTAGCACTAGATACCTATGAACGCCTCACCTGCTACCCGGCTCACACTTCTAGGGCACGCACCACTTCATCCTCAGAGGGCCCTACTTCCCTTGTGTGCGTGATTCCCTGAATTCCTTTCTTAAGACCATACGGGTATGGCGGAGATCTCGAAACAACCCAAAGACGTGAAAGGGAAACTTTTATCGTGCAAGTCGTTTTTACACTGTTTAAAATCATTTTTAAATAGGTGAATATCTTATCAATTTGGACTGTTATTAATAAGGCCTCGTTTTAAATTCTTTGAAACTAACATCGAGTAATGTGAAACCTCCTCCTACAAAGGAAATTTGGTTTGTGAAATGATACTCCGATCTTTTCGTGTTAATTTCAAGCTACTTGAATTGCTGAAGTTTTTGGCTTGTATCTTGTGACTTCTTAAAGTCGCTCTCTTTTGGCACTTGAAATAATTTTTAGGTTAATTGGGTGTTTTTTAGTTGAGATTGCCCGTGAGTAATGTGAACCATATGCACACTTAATGGCGCTGCAAGACCTGACATTAAGTGAGATGGGCTTCTTTTTCAAAAAGCAGCTCTTCATGTTGCCACTCGGTTATCGTTTGAACTTAGCAACATCCTAACAGCCCTGATCAAACTTCATATTTACGTATTTTGAATAGCATGTCTTGTAATTTGTTTAAATAGACCTTCTAACAGCTTTTGCCTGCTTGTTACCCAGTCAATTTCTCGTCTGCCCACAACTTTATTAACATCCTTCTGTGTAATTTATTAAAACCAATTGCTTAATTGGTACATTTCCTCCGTTTTCCTTCTACATTTGACTGTGGACTGTTTCCACGCTGAATAGTCTAGTTTGGCTTCCTCAAACCTGTCAATAGATAAAGTTTGACTATTTTTTAATTTTTAAAAATGGTAACTCAAATGAAATTATTCCAGGGCATTAAGATCTTCGATTGTTATGGTCTTATTTCAAATTGGCTCACTGATATTTTGAGTTGTCTATATCATTACGTTAGGTCTGCCTGAAAACGATGCGGAATTTTAGTAAGGCCATGGTTTAGGGGAATTCTTCAAGAATGGGAATGCACAACAGACCGTTGCGTTGGAGATTGTAGTGGTATGTAATGGCCTCAGATGAGTACAAATAGAAAGTAGCTGAGGCCGAATAGTAGAGATGCCGTTTATTATCAAAGCACTCTCGTTTATTCAATCCTTTATCAAAGGGGGTGAAAACCGCATGTTGATGGCATTCGTGTAATAAAAGAAGCGCCCTCACAATATTGTTAAATGACATTTAAGCTATCGTTGTCTTCTGTGGTTCCACATCTGAAGCTAACAAAGATCTATTTTGAAGGTTATCTCTCATAGAATTTGGGTACGTCAAATATTTGGCTTGAAGGCATTCTTTCCATGAAATAGAAACATCGCTAAGACTGTTAATCGCTACCCACTTTTTATTTCCCGTCTTTACCAGGATCTCGTTCGCAAGTTGTCTCCCTCTTTACCAGACCCTACTCCGGAGGTCTACAAGTCACCCGAAGGTCCAGATCTCAAAGCCATCGGCTACTACGACGGTCTCTTGAAGGTCCTAGATGAGAAGATGACTTTCTCGCCTCCCGGGAGTCCTTCCGTCACCCTTAAACCCATTTTCACCCCTGGTCACAGTGTGGATCACATGTGCTTTGCTCTCTCTGTCAACGATACTGTGGAATGCGTTTTTGTGGGCGATCTCCTCTTAGGTGGGTTCCTGCTAACTTGTTATCGTAAAATTTGAGGATTTAACGCAGTAGGTGCCAATGTCATATAAGTGTGATGATTTTCACCGGTTTTGGGAATTGGTTCCAAAAATCATATTGTGGTAGAACTTAAAGAAGCAAGCTTGGTACATAGGCCTCTCGCTCTGTGGAGAATTACAATTTTCAGAGTTTTTTTTGTCCGAACCATAAAAATGTGAGCTGTGACGGTTGATTTTCCTTTGACACCTTGTCATCGAGTGTGTTCAGTTGTTTTTAGTCCTACAGACCCTCTATATTACAATATTAGAGTTAGCTATGGACTAACTCATTCAGAGGTAACGCAGTTGCTACCTTTCCCCGGTATATGGCATTACCATCCTCCCAATGCCTGGGTATTTTAAATTGTCTCTATAATTTATCAAAAGTTCATAAACTGACTTCCATTTATCCTGATTGGATACTCTTCTGAGTTCGTTGACTCAACACTCGTGCTCTAAGCCTTCCAACTTTTCTGTGCTACCGTGGATACAGTTATTCGCGGACTGATGCGTTCAAAGGAGGGTGAAATGCTCTATTTTAATCAATGTGTTTGAATCTATCTTTTTCTTAGCACTTTATCGTTTTCAACTTCTTATTTGGAATATTTTCAGGGTTAAATTTAGTGGATTTAGAAGGAATGCGGTGCGTTTGCTTTCTGGGTTCAAGACCCTAAGTATCCCTTTGCATAAGATGCCTTTGTGAATTTCATTTTAAAATTGGAGCAAAATGTGCCGTCTGTGGATTATTTTGTCCCGGGTAACTGATTTACCTGGATTGTTTAACGAAGTTAAGTGGTCTACTATATTTGATATCCCTTCACTTTCACCATTCCATGTCAATTTTTTGTCTACCAATAATGCTAGATTGGAAGCATCAAATATTATTAGCTCATCTTCATAGATCTAGCCTCCTAGCTCTTCTGTCTGTCCGTAGCTGCATTTATTCATTAGGCAACAAATTTGTATGCCACTGGCACTCCCTTAGTACATTTGATATTTTACATATTTGTGTGCATTTAATTTAAGTGCGAGTAGAACAAACAATTGGTTTTAGTGTCCTTTTTTGTCTCTTTCTGAGTTGGATTCATCCAAGTACCCGTCTTTATGAAGTACTTTTTAAAGGACACCTTAAAAATATAACAAAATATGCAACCAGCAGATTGGTCAGGCTTGTCACTTCTCTGCAGTCAAACTTGTGCATTATTCTTATGCAGATTAACCACCCACGTCGTCATATCTCATGCCTTCTGAGTGACCAGGCATATAAAAATTGGAAAAGACTACCTTTGCAGTGCATGAGAAAGCAGGTCATGATGGTAGGCGGATAGATTCAACATTGTCATTCCAATTATCAATGACATAGGTCAATTTTCCTATTTTGGTGCCCCTTCGTTTGTAATGGTGCAAGTGATCGTGTGTGGGCGTATCTTGTGATTTACTTTGCCCTAATAAGCCTGTTGCTCATGAAGTTTACCGGAAAAGCTGCCAATTTGGGTCGAAGAATAACTGAAACTCATACGTAAATTTTAGTGGAGGCATAGTTGATAAATTTGGTAGCCAGGGCCTATTTTCGCATTCCGATTTTTTGCCCTCTGAGGTTGTATTTTGCTTGATTTAGGTGTTTGAATTAGAATGAAGTATGCAACAAGTGGGCTACATCAATTCAACTTATTACATATTCTTAAAACATAAAAGTGTTTTTCGTACAGTAGGAGGAAAGCAATCACAGTGATGGGTAGGAATTTAAGGCATTTTGTTTACTGTATCAGGATGACTAGAACCCAACCCTTATGAATGTTCAAATACCCACCACTTTTGGATTTGATAATACCAGGAAGAGCGGCATTCGGTTGTTTGAAATACTCCTAAAGTTTACCAAAAGTGCTACCTTGCTGGGGAACTGTAGTGGGCTCGGTGTTTTTTCCACTCCTGCCTTCATTATTCTTGAGTTGAGTTGGACGAGGACATGCTTTATGGGGTAGTGATAAATAAAGAGGTACAAATATCACGGTTTAAGCACATTTTGGGTACGTACTCTCCTCGGGGGCTGACAGTATCCAATCCGTCACGAGGTTTGTATTTACTGGTCGCCTCTCGCCTAAAAGGTACGTTCAAACAAGCATGTATTACAAAACTTTTACTTGGTCTTCAGCAGATAGAATGGAGTTCTACCCTATGCTTTAGGTATTGTGATCAGGTTTATGCGTGTTTCGGGAGCATGGACTCATCCCTATTGACCTGTACGGCCAGTATGGAGACAACTTTCCTCCTCGTAGTCGTCAATGAATCTTTTGAGAGGTTGTAAAGTAGCCGTGCTTGCACGACGAATGCGGACCTCTTCGGATGTCCAAGTAGCTATGACTGGGTGGAACTAAGAAAATACTGGAAGCTGATGCGCAGATGTGAGAGAGTGACGTATTTTAGATCCTTCTACGCTCTAATCTACGGTAACCCTAGGTCCAGTTAAGTGTCTCTTTAGGTAGGTTTCTGAGCTATTTGCATAGGTTCAAACAGCTGAAGTGTACGAGAACTGTGTGAACGATTTAATGATAGCCATACAGAAATGTAGGGAGTAACTTTTGCAAATTGCTGTCTTATTCACACTACAGTGATGCCAAGTTAAATTAACCCAAATTTTGAATTTTTGAATGCATAATTTTGTCAAGAGCTCTCACTCCAAGGGAATGTACGACGCTGTTCTTCCAAATCAACACAAAGATGACTGTTTGCGTTCGTAGTGCGTCTCTGATCCTGTTAATCTACCTTTTAAACTCCATCAAAAGCTATGACCGGCAGGTTGTCGATTTGGTAAACTATGTCTTTCATTTCAACCTCTACCGTGGTTTTCTACGTCGCATTCTTGAGTGGGTTAGCAAAATGCGCCTGAATAATTTGTGCTCTTTCCCTTAGTCAATGGATTTTGGACTCTGACCGTAGTTAAACTGTTAAAAAGCTGAGTACAGGTGGACTGTCTTTGTTATTGTATCGCATTACCGAAAGGCTTATGCGGTGTAGCAGCGATTTCGTGATTTGTGGGGATTTTTAAGGAGCGATTGTTCATATGCATTGTGAAGCTTAACCTTGATTATTCTATCGTTGGGGTGCCCCTTACTGTGTACTCTACAATGTTTTTGCATCACGTTCAACCAGATGTAAACAATCGCTTAAAGATAAATGCATCACGACAAGGAAGAAGATTTTACAGTTCTCTTGATGGAGAATCACTTTTTGTTGTTAAACAACTTGATAGTAATGTTTAGTGTAGTGTTTCATGCGTTGGAAAAAAATTTGTTGGGCCTGAAAGCCTACCCATCTTTCTATTCTTCACTTCTTCCACGTATTTTGTAAAAAAAGTGTCATGCTTTTTGGATTGTTTTTTTCTTGACCGGTTTACTTGTGCTGCGAAATGGCCTTGTAAGCGACCAGGCCGATCAGTGGGTATCTCGAGAAGATCTATCCACTTCTAATGTCCTCACCACGTCACCCTCAAAGACTGTGCCTGCTCCACACGTGTGATGTGCACGAGGTGGACTGCGACCCACCTTGATATAATCCTATGCTCATAGGTGTGCACAAGGAGTCCTTTGTCTTCTTTTTCTTTTTGAGAAACTACCAGGACTAACAAATCTGTCCGAAGAAGATGACAATTTTGTTGAATAATTTAAGACCTCACACTGGATACCGCCTCGTTTTCTTTCCCTCTATTTCTCTGACGATATTTCTCCAAATGATCACAATCTTCTCTTGACGTGAGAAATAGAACGGCCAGATGCGAGACGATGTTAGGGTGAAAAGGAAATGGCCGAGGCTGGGTCGTTTGCTTCCGAAGTCGAAATTGGCACTCACAAGCTTGCATCGCACTGAACAAACTGCTTTCATAAGTTTCCTACTGTTAATTAACTTTTACTATAATAGATTGTGCAAACTAATTTTTTGCCCTCCACGTTACTAAATGCGTCTCCTGTGAGTAGAAAAGCTTTAGTCACACCCTCGGTTCACATCTATGGGTTTTCTGGTCCAGGTTTTGTAATGGCCTTTATCTGCTTTAAATTTGCTTTGGTGTACATCTTGCGCCCATCTTTGGCAGGAAACTTCCCCCTATTGTGTGATATTTGTTTTCCTTCTGCGCCGTTAATTTCCTTTTTTTTGCAAACCTATTTGATGAATTACATCGAGGTTTTATGGAGAGTGGTATTGTGTACCCTCCAAATTTCAATCATTTTCACAACTTGACTGAATTTGTGTTGAGAACAGCTAAAACTGAAGAGCACTCGATTGTTTAGACGTCGATGGGCCTTTCATTTTGTTTTTTTTTACCAAATTATGTGTCGGGAAACTTAAGAATTCTTTTTAAGCTTTTTACAATCCTCATTCTCTCGATTTGACACACAGTTGTGTTTTTTGCTACAGGTTGGGATTCTGAAAGTCTTTTGATTGTCATGCGTCTCAGTTGAAAGGCACCGCTGGTTCTACAAGGTGGTATTTTAGCGACAACTTTAATAACTGGCTTTATGATCTACAAAGTCTTTGTTTTTTAGATGACCGTAAAAAGTTACCATGGTGCCTACTCACCCCTATTGGACGCCTATTTATGCCCAAAAGGGTCCAACATTAGTCGCTATCTAGCTCAGTCTGTGTGAACTAAAGTGCTTTGAGTCTCAGAAAACTTCAAATAGTGGATTTCACCGTCGAATGTTTCACGTCTACTTCGTACCAAGACCTATCAAACACGTGTTAGTTAACATCTGCGTTGTGAAAAGTGATTTTAAGGGTGAAGACTATGCCTCCGTGGGAATTTGTTATGCTGCTTCCTTTTCTCTCAACAATCCCTACCACATTTTGTTACCGGTGGCGCATCATTGCTGAATTTGTTACCTTATTCCCTTTCAATCCGCGGGAGGATGTTGCAATTTCGTAGTTATGGCAGCTTCATCCACATTTATTGTTACATTTCGATATATCCTGCCGTGTTGGAAATCGCAGAAGGCCGCTTTTAAATTAGCAGAGAATCCGTTTCTCTAGCTAGTAATTTTTCACTTAAAATTACCGTTAGTAATCCCTCGAAATCCATTAATTTCCCATAACCTGACAGGTACCACAATTTTTGATTTAGGCGAAATTCATTTGAATGTTCTTCGCCTTTCCAGTTGACAATTTGACTAACATACTCTTTCCGTCTGTGGGTACATGAATTCAAAGTCTAGTAGAGAAAGCAACTTTGTCACGACAGCCGGAAATCATGGTGCCCTTCATTCACCGACCAATGGGAAAGCGATTTACCATCTCTTGCTTTCTTTGATTTATTATATCTTGTTTTTTCGGCACAAACGATGCTTGCTTCCAAGCTCCTGGCTGAGGTTTTCTCTTCCCCTACTACAATGGCCAGCTCACACCGCATTTGCGCAGTTAACCGCCGCCACTTTTCTGCCAAGTCGCTACACTGCTCGCGTTTATGCAGGCAGACGTCCGTTTTCTGATTGGTTCTTGCGGCATCGTCTGCTTTACTTACTACTGTGTGAGCTTGTAGAGACATTGATTTACTGTTCAGGTCGCCTTGAGTTCGCTCTCGTTTCAGTCACCTGGATAATGTGGCATTCCCTCCTCCTACCCAATTTGGCGAGTTTCATGTTTAAAACTTAAATTAAGTGGCGTCCACTTATTGCCAATGCAGGCTTTGGCACAACGATCGTGCTTGATCTTCCAGCCTACATGCGCTCGCTTGAGGTGTTGCGGGAATTCGTTGTCAAGTGCAATAACCCCAAACTCTGCTTCATGCCTGCTCATGGCGAGGTGATAACCGACCCGGTGACGAAAATAGATGAATATCTCGCCATCCGGAAGAAACAAATCAACAAGGTGAGGACTGATGCTACTGGTGCATTCTTTGTCTATAAATTGCGTCTGCTCTTTGTCAAGATGTATACTTTATGAAGAGCCTCGTCGTGTAGTCAATTCTTGAACCAGATACTATAGACGCCATCATTTCATTTAAGTTGGTAAACCGTCCTTCTATCTCCTAAGCAATATCTGACTCAGTGTTACCCCAGACCCTCAACATCTCAGAGTTGCTCTTTTATTGGTTTAACCTGGATCAGTTGGTCTCACTTTCGATTGAACGCCTTTTCAGACTAGGGATGGACTTCTAACCAATCCAAAGGACACTTGGTTGAGAGAGAATTCTCTGGTGGAGCAGATCTACCCCTCCACAGTGGCCAAGATGAAACAGCTGGCCATGAATAACCTGCGCCAATGCCTCTTTTGGCTGCAGGCTCAAGAGACCACCGATTTTCACATTTCCGAACCCGTCACCGCCAGTACCAAAGAGGCTCGCTGCGAAAGTGACTTCAAGAAGGCTACTGCTATCGCTCGTCCCGGCTACCTGCCCGAGGTACTTAACGAGGAGTGGCTGTGGAAGTGGACCTCGGCAGAGAAAACCTGCAACAATCACTTATTCGACCATTCGTAATGCTTTTCTTAGACGATATTGGCAGCCGGGGAAGCGAAATCACCGAGGCGTTACTCCATCTTTCCATGTATTCACCCATTCTCTCTTCTAACAAAAATAATAATCCATCTCTGTCATGTGGAAAAAGTGTCCTTTTTGAACTCATCCAACAAGGAGCGCAAGAAAAAGTGAGGTGTGCGGACGAGGGTGTGCAAAAACAATGAACTGCCAAAATACGTTGACGAAGGCCATTAATGATAGGGGGAAGTCACTCGTTTCCAATCTCCTGAACCACGATCAGCGTGTACTCCTTGTCTACAAGGCAGAAAGAAAGGCAAATTTGAAAATAGTTTGCCGAGGACTTTTAGAGTAATGAAATCTATAAACCAAATGGATCGAAACAATTTAAGCCGCTTGGTTCGTGCCAATAGAAGCTGAATACAAATTTCTTCATTATGGCGCTAGGGTTGAGGTGTTGGATTACGGTGGCGTTCAGTTTGATGGGGGGGGGGGGATAATAAGTTCCTCCACGTGGTTGCGGGGAGGCGCAGTGACTATACCTATCACGTGGGGCTGTTATTTGTGGCTTGGCTTTCTTGTGAGTGTAGCTAAGTTATAGGAAATGAAGTGAGTGGTAGTGTTGTAAGCTTTCCATTCGGGGAAGAGCAGTTGAGGACTACTGACTCAAGTTATAATTCCGACATGGTAAACGCAAAATCTCAAAACAGTGATCTTAGACGCAGTCGCAACATGAAAATAAAGCAGTAGGGGTAACAACCAGTAAGCTGACCACATTGGACAGTTTGAAGACGCTGGCGGAGTGGGAGCTATAGGGGTTTAGTTCAGAGAGCACGGCAATAAGGCTTTATAAATAACAGTTGATGAAGCAGCTAAAATGGGCTACTTGTAAGGGTATAGCTGAAATGGAAGCGACCAGTTAGTTGCGTGTATTAAGAAGAGCTGATTGCGCAAATGGTAAAAAGGATATTCATAGTACATGACTGAGGGGGTGACAATTACATTTGGCGAACCAGATAAAGTGAGTTCACTGCGAAGAAGGCGATTTGATAGAAGCCATCACAGATTTTTGGCAAATCTATTAGGGATGGAACTACTAACTGGCATCGCTCTGGGCAAAAATTAAAACTCTCGTATGTCCGATAAAGTTAAAGACGGGAAATCAATTTTCAAAAATACTAATTTAAATTGATTTGTGATCATTTTTGAATCTAAAGCTACCACAGAATTTCAGGTAGTAATCTAAAATGAGGGACGCCAATCGTGATTCTTTAGATCAAAAGGGGAAAGCCGAATTTGAATTCGATCGGGTTACGACAAAAAGCCTGAAGTGAAAATATTTAAAGGATAGATTATAATCCAGGTGGCCACAGGTTCCTTAGAAAGGACAATTGATCTGAATCCACTAAAGCGACAAAGCAGAGATCAAGCAGGCAGATCATGTGGGCATTATTAGTGTAAGCCATTACAAGCGGCTGACCAAAGCTAACTAAAACCAGTTTAAAAAGAAGCGGCTGATAGACTACATTCGAAAGCAAAATTAACCCCTCGATCCAAAAAAAGGCACAATTACAAATCAATGCTCACCAGGCGCGATCATAATCTCATTCTTCTTGCTGCGGACGCGCAGAAAAGTGAGGTCATTCGTGGGATCCCCGTCACGGACACCAGCCCTCGACTTGGAAACGAGTTGCTGTGAGAGCGCACAATAGTGCACTGTCATTGGTTTGTCCATTGTCGTGCGAATAGGCACAGCTACAGGGAGAGAAGAATCACCTCATCCATCAAGCAGCTGGTGTTCCTCATGGCTCCTTAGTCCTACACCTCCTGTACTGGTAAACTCGGTGCCTGATCATGGTATAAAGTGGCAGGTCTACAAGGAGCTAAAATCTCCACCGCTGATGACCTTTACACTTTAAATGCACCTCCATTGTATTCCATATTGATTGTCCGCCTGCCATCACCCAAGTTAATGAAGTAAAGTAAAAACTGTCGCATAGATTGTATGGATGAAGGGCGAGCAACATTTTATTCTCGCAACGACTGGTACCGCCAAGCGCTTCTAGATTCCGGTTGCATCTCTCCCCACCAGCAAATAGTTGTCGCAATGAGTGGCAGAGATTGAAAGAGCAAAATGAGGTTGAAAAAAAGATTGCAACCATCGGCCCACAAACTCGTAATATTAACAGTTTTCACACATCCTATGTCTATCCCTCTTTCACACTAAAGAGCAATAAACGTTTGACAGTGGAAGCCTCTGTTAAGGCAGATACTGTAAAACCTTGAAAATGAGTCAAAATAAATTCAATCTCAAAGCTGAAGGGATGGAGTAAATGAGTGAAAAGGATGTGGTAAGGTTTGGATCTCACTACTACTTCAAATTAGTAAAGCGGAGAAAGCGAAGGGATGAAAGATGTCACTTAAGCGAGACGATACCAAGGGAAAGGTGGCTTTGGCATCAAGATGTAAAGATGAAAAAGTGTGCAACTGCAGCTCATTACTGTTTGACGTTTTCCGCCTACTGTGGTAATCGGCAATCAATCTCCAGGCGATCCATTTACAAGGATATAACAATAGTTATGCCAAGTCGGCAAACAGTACCCCAAATGGCTTTAGCTTCCAGTATTATCCATATCTATTCGCTTCGTACGGCTGAGAAACATAAGAAACGATTATTATGCGAACCAGCACAGCTACAAAAAATGCTGAATAGTCCTGGCAATGTCTGAATTACTACGCTCTTGCACTAATAGACAGCAATGAATCGTTGTATAGGTCATCATTACTTTGAGATTAAAAAGCGAATTATTTCGCTTTACGTGACGAACTTCAGCAGCTATAGAAGACCCATTCAGTCAATTACGATAGAGAATTATCAGAACTGCAATAAGTTTCCTTATTATCTGGATTAATTAAACGAAAAACTCTGACTTATAAGTAGTTGATCAAAGAAATTGTTGGGGTCTGAACAAAAGAAAGAAATTTCCATATCAACCGTCAACGGAAAAGCACGATAAGATGCGATAGGGCGTCATGGTCTGAACTAAAAGCTTTCATGCATCCAACCCAGTTTTGAGGAAAAGAACCCTAAAAAGACGAACTGTAAGCCTACAAACTATCCAATCATTTGGATAGGAATTAATTAAACTTCAATGAGTAGAAAGTGGACAACTGATAACCCAACAAACATATTCGATCCAAAGAAAATAGGGTAATAAAAGCGATTATTCATCAAAAAATTCCAAGAAATAAAAAAGATACTCGTTTTAAATTGAAAAATATTCTGCCTTGCGTGAAAATGTATGAATATTTAGTAATTGAAATGCTCATGCAATGAGAAGTTGGCCATGAAATCAGGAAGCACCAAGTGTTAAGTACCAAATATGCTATAAAATTAGGGACGACATACCATCGTTATTCATAATAATGATGCCCTGAACTCCCTTATGCATCTGAATCCGATTAAATGTGTCTTCAACTTCATTCTAAAGAGGGGAAGATTCAGATCAGCTAACTTTAGTGCACAGACAAACATCAAGGCGGATTGCAAAGTACACTGACAAAGAGTCTTCTAATATAAAGCTCCGAGAACACTATAATACCTCCCAAAGCTAATTATTTGCACAAAATCAGCTATTTCAATAAAAGAACAACTTATTGAGCTATTGCAGGATGAGTTTGTGAGGGGTGACTACCAGAAAACAGTGAAAATTAACTTATGCAGCCTATCACTGATAAAAAAATCCAATTCTGCACTATGTTTGGTCAAATGCACGCATGATCGGTTCCGCAGAAGAATACAAAACAGTGCAAGGCTTATAACAATGTTGAGATCAAATGAAGAATTCGCCCGTAAATGTGTGTTAATAGCATTCAGCATGCACCCAATTATCAATCAACAGTTAAAATGGCTGAATTGAAGCTAAACTGGAGAAATAAGCATCTGGAGAAGAATTTCAGAAGGAACTATGTAAAAAAGGAACTATGAAACTGGAGACAATGTCTACGTGACAAGACAGCAAAATACATTGAATTACTAGGCGAATCGCTTAAGATGAAAGTGATAGCAATAAATTTAACCGAGAGTACGAAATTCGGTGTATACACATAAAAAAGGGGTGCTTCCAAAGGATGGAATCAATAGAAGCCAAAGGTTAATGAAAAAGCAAGAGTAACAAAAAAGGGAGAAGAGCTCCCAGGGACAGACATAAAATCCAAGGATTCGACTCAGTTTTAAGAAAAATTAACTAAAGAAAAGGTCAAAAACCAACCATCTCAAACTCAGGCGAGAAAAATGAAACCTGTTACTAAGGCTAAATTCGCCAATCCACATAGATTGCCCTTGAACAAAAATGATCACCCTCATCCCATGTAGAAAACTTATACGAGATTTTAATCACTTTAGAACTATTCATGTAAAGCTCTTCTGCCTATTAAGAGAAAGAAGAAAACACTACTAACTTAGGCATCTAAATAAAATCACCTGCTGCGAAGGAAAGGAAACAATCATTGAGACTTTCGATGTAGTAATATAGATGCGTTAGCTTCGGTTCTTCCTAATAGCTGATATTGACTATTAGGATGTGGAATTGCATTTGATGGCAAGTCCGAGGTTTGCGATTTTAGCATTTAAAAACCCTTTTGGATTTAACGCTTATGGTGGAGAAATGATATTTCTCCCCATATTGATGTGAAGGCGTTAAAAGTGTCCTTCAAAATTGCTTTGGTTATAAGCTTTGTTTTGCCATACTTTTTTAATTCCAGGAGTATTTAACGCGCATTAGTCTCTTATATAGTGTCATGTATTAAAAGTCACTCCATACGAGAGAGCATTTTACATAATACATGTTGGTACGTGCGATGTAATTTGGACCACGTACTAAAAATCAATTTGAATTTGTTATATAGCATCATAATCTGAGCAACTGCCGACCTGTGCACAAATTTTGTAACGCACAAATTCTGTTCGTCGATTTTGTGACTGTTAATATTCTTGTCCTGCATTAGCCGCGGCTTTGACAGTGCTCTTTGCTGTTTGCGTTTTAACTTTCAAGATGGTAAGTTTTCCTACTTTTATTTTGGTTAATTTGATGTAGTTTTTAAAGGATAGATGGTCCCATATGAAATTATCGACCAGGGTGAACAATCAAACTAGTTTTGAAGATTTCATGCTTTTCTCCCCTTAAGATGCTTAACTTGTGTGGCTGGTAGTAGAATACTAGGATAGACATATAAGTATCGGCTGGCACAGGCATATCTCCGTATGTCATTTTTGGTCTCTGCTGCATTTGTTTGTGCTTTACTAAGTGTTACGGAGTCTACACGTTATTTTCTTCGCACTTTTGAAAGTTACCTGAATCATCTCAATATTGTTTAACCGATCAGCAATCCTTGCTCATTTATTGAAGATGCATGTAGTTTTTGTTAGGGTCTTAAGTGCTTTTTGAGGTTACGCCTTCTCCTAACTTTAAGTTCTGTTCCCTGGCTGTTCCAAATTTCGCTATCATTCAATCGACGTAACTTCAAACTAGGTTTTTTTTGTGGGCCTCTATGAATTATCTTAATGCTAACAGAATTTTCGACTTTTAACCCAGGATGAAGCTTCATGTGATTTTTTCCGCAAAGCTTTGCATATTTTGTTTATTACTGACGCTGACGCCTTAATTTTTACTCACCAACTTTATGACTTTTTTTGTTAAAAAGCATAAAAAAAATTTGCTTTTCTGGGGTTTTCCTGTGCTACTGATCCATTCTTAATTAGCAATGATTTCCTTCGGTAAAAATTTATCGAAGTTTGAAATACCTGCTTACACTAAGCCTTTCTCCGAATCAAGAGTCGTGGTATTCCAAAAGAAGGGAAGGTGCGCTTGTTTGAAGTTACCCCGTTCTCTCATTCGTTAAATTCTTATTTAGACTAATCTCTTCACCTTTAAAATTCTCCCATCTTCGTAAATTTTAGTCAGAGGCTGATGAAATTATAAAAAGACTACGAAGCCATCCAGGTGTTATCGGTGTAATAGTTTCCAACCGGGAAGGTTAGAGGTGTTTGTTCTGTCGAAATTCAACTCGGCTTTTTGATTTCTGTGGGTTCTATCATGCTACTTACTGGGACATTAGTAACCCAAATTCTCACGTGCATAAAATGCATGAGATACTCTTATATGAACCTAGGAATCGCGATTCGCACAACTCTTGAGAATAGCCTGACCGTTCACTACTGTGGGTTGATTCAAGCCTTGCTGAATAAGTCTTCCTCCGTGGTTAAAGACTTGGACCCGACCAATGATCTCACTTTTCTACGTATTCGAAGCAAAAAAAACGAGATTATGGTAGCTCCACGTATGTATACATTCATTTGGGCATATTTTGGGTAATTTCTACGATTTTTTTACTTTTGTGTTTTTTCTTTTTTCAGAGCGTGAGTATGTGCTGATTGTGATTCAAAAGGCCTGAGGTTATCCTATTTCAATTACCGGAGAATATGTGCTACTGACGTTGTTACGCATAGAATGGTAATAAAGTTCTCTTACAACGCATTTTTCTTGCTCCTCTTAAGCGTCGACAATTATTCAGGCTAATTGAGTAAAAATAATTTTTAAACCCATAAATAGGGGAAAGACTGGCAATGTACCCAATCAACGGGCGTAATGTCGTTGAAGTGGAGGATTAATTTCGTTTGTTGATTGCAGTCGGGTTGGTTAACAAAGGGCAACTTTGATTAACAAATTTTAGTGCAAAGTGGGTTCCTTTTTCCGATTCGAGTAGCCGTCGTTGAAAACATGAAGGCACGTAAGAAGTTGATGAGGGCAGGTTAGAGGTGCGACTCATAGATTTTGCTGATAACTGACTTCGCGTCACCAATATCGCTATTTTTAGTTTCCTAAATTCTTTGGTGGGGAATGCATACCCTTTTGCACTGGTACGTCTCAGAATTGTCGCATTTTAGGTAGTTCAGCGTGGCATTGAAAACTCGGGAAATAGACCTTATTTATGCTGGGGTTATGCTGTAGATCGCCTTGCCCCGTTGTCTTGGTTCCATAGCTTTGATAATTAAACCAGTTCAGTCGCGCTTTTCCTTTGCTTCGTTCAGGCTTACAAACACATCATCTGTAAAAATCCAAGGCTTCTCTCTAGGCGGGGACCGATCAATGGCAAATGATTGGTTTAACACGCCGGTACATAACATACGTTGCTGGGGCAGCGCGGAACGATTATTCGACAAAGATGGGAACCATTTTAGAGCCTACTGATTACAGGTAACTAATCTATGGGATATCGTCTTTGTGATTTTGTTGACTTTAGAGGGATGTGTTTCCCAAAAATGGTTTTATCACATTTTAGATGGTATCTGATAAGAAATAGGGTATTCTTCTCTATTTTTCCCCCTAACAAATTAATCACTTTTCACGTAACTAGCAATAGAAGTTGTCGGCTTACCACTTTCCCTGACAGAGCTTAAAGGTTACTCATGTGACGTTTGAGGTGAAATTAATGTAGGTCCCATAGATGCAAACAGTGGTAGTGAAATCCGATGCAACCAACTTAAAATGAGTATTGTGTAGTCATGATGTTGTAGTATGCCATAAGTCAAGTATCTGAGTAGCTGGCTGGCACTCAATATATAAAACAAAAAATTTTTCGCTGAAATTTATCATCCTCTACCGCCTCACTGTGTAATGGATCCACTTCAGTCGTGATTGTTTCCAGCAACCTTCAGTGGCTCCGTAACCACGTACGCGGTCATTTCGATTGGTGACATTCTCACACGATCCAAATGCTACAACCCAAAGTACTTTGTTTATTTTTTGGAAGAAGTTAATGCAAAAGTAAAATATTCATACTAAGATGGTTCGATCATAGGCCAAGGTATAAAAATATACCATTTACATAATAAATGCTACTTCTGAAACAACTTAAAAGTTGGATTGTGAATGCCTTCCCAGTACAATGGGCATCATTAAAAAAACTGCCTTTTGAAATGCCTCATCTTAGCGACAAATTAACATTGATGAGTGGTCCGAAGTTAAATTTAGGCTCATATAGGAGGATCGTTTCATCAAAACAGCGATAAATCTGCAACCGAGTTTCATTGTCATTAAGAGAATAGTACAAGCTAAATTGCCCTTTGGTTTAGGCTTCCCCTCTCTTGAATAGATTGTGGTAGGTCTAATTTCTCATCAGGCATTTTTCATTCACCTTGATAACCACTTACGTTACAGCTTCGACGTCAGGATTTACCTCTTCTGTCAAGGCGGAGAGAAAGGAGCGAGCCGCGCTGTTCGTAGTTCCTCAACCGCATTTTCAGTTTGTTATAGGTACGCGTCTGAAACTCTTAATGCTAAAGTGTTTCCATTTAGGATTTTGATACATTTGGTATTTCCTGCTCTTTTTATAGGCACTCGATACGCTTATCAGTATGTGAACTCATACATCAACAATTATTCAGTTTCGAATGGGAAAATAGCACACAATATCTTTATTTACCTAGGCAATATCACCTTTCGATATCAAAATTGAGATAACAAACTCGTTGTTTATGAAGTGAATAAATTGACGTCTGCATATTGCCATCACTGTGATGGTAAACTTCACATTTTCTGCCTTAGTATTGTGCTTTATTTGGACCTCAGGGAAGTCTCGGGGCGCTGCACTAAAGAATATCTAACCCGATTTCCACTCCTGAATGCTAAACCTTGACGTGACGAAGAAGGATATTCGCTGCTGGTGGGAGAATCTGTTACAATCCCTAACAGAAGGGTTGAAAATGACATTCACCTTCGGAAACTACCGCAATCCCTTGGCTCGCAGGCGGGTTATTAAAGTCTAAAGAGACACTAATCGAGAACCATCTGGAAAAGTACGTTACGGAGCTGTCTGTGGTGCCTGTATGAAGTGAACATGTGATACCTCCTCCACCACTCGACTAGCTGAGTAAAATCCAGACATACACGGCTGGCTAACACTGAAATGAGGACAAAGTGACAAGGAGGATCAAATGCAAAACCCTATCCACGCAAAACTACGTTAAACTCCGCCATTTTTAAGTGACTGCTTTTAGGAGTGCGTTCTTTCGACTAGTGATGCATAGGCGTAATGGCCTGCTAAGTTCCCCTTCCCCCGACGCATTTCCAAACAGGACGAGTATCCAGACCTAGTAGAATTGCTAAGGCAAGTCAGTGGCGTTGTGGTCACATGTGTTCTCAGATGTACGCGAATTCAATGGCTGGCGCGGTTGAATCGTGGGTGTTTTCCATACAGCGCCCTTCCACGTTGTGATTGCCGGCATGGGAGGGTGACCAAGGGGAACGCCGTGGACGACGCTCAAGAGGTGAGGGGGCTGTGTAGTGCTTTGATTGTTTGTTCAACACCTCGTTTTGTTACGCAGGTATTAAAAAAAAATAGGTCCACTGCGCTCCCGTCGCCATTACATTCTCTAACCCAGTGTTATGAATTCTTTCGTCTTCAGGAGTGATTCCGGACGCAGCAGCTCTTTTACTTGGTCCTTCCTAGTTTCCTTCTTTAATTAATTTTTAAACACTCTTTTAATTGAGCAAAATTCTAAATTTCGGAATTCAAACGCATCCTATTTTTTAGTCTTTGATTAAAAATACAGCAGTATACAACCCCTCAAACTTTAAAAAGATTGACAAGAAGTTTGAACTTTAAAATATAGCAAACACATGATTAAGATATTTTTAAGATTGAAATGGCAATACTTTTGCGGTATATTTAGTGACGCGGACCCTCTAGTCTTCGCGGTTTCGGTCTCTCTTTTGACGGCATGATTGCAATGCTGGGTCCGTTGTCTGCCTATTCTTTTGCACATTCATAGCAAAATTTTCTTCTACACTATTATGTTTTTACTCATTCAAAAACAGGTACTGCGAATGGGTTCACCATTATCCTGCCCACACAATGCAATTATATCTCTGTGGTGGAGGTTCCATACAAAGAGAGTGCAATTAGGGTGTGGTGTCTAGTGTGTTTTCACTCACAAGACACAAAAAGGTCCTTTCACTTATTACAAATGATGTGTATGGGGATTGGGAGCCGTTTTGGCTTCAAGTAGGACCAAAAGCGGACCCGCTTACAGTGGAATTAGTCAACTCTAGCACACTGGTGCCTATTTTGGTGTTAAAGCGCACATTAGGAAATCCAGAATTATTGCAATTTTGCCAATTGTTCGTGCTCATTTAGTAGAATGCAAATGGTTAACTTCTTCCGCTTAGTGAGCATGAATAATAACTGGAACTAACAATCAAACTATTATGGAATGGTATATGGCTAATTTCCGCAGGAAGTCAAAGTGTACGCAAGTGTGGTTAGATCAAGAGGAGGTCCCTCCTCTTAACCCACTTCCGCCATTTAAGCCGAAAGTTAAACGATTTTTCGATCATTTGTGATCATGCTTACTTTTAGTTAAAGCAAACTATTTTATCTGTTCAGTGCTGAGATACTACTCAGATTAATTCAGTATCGAACCACAAAGTTTATATATGAGTAAATTTTCCTACCCCTATTTCTAACATTAGAGAGTGTAGTAGCAAAATATAATGACCCTATATTCGCCATCATTTTAATCCTCAGAAACACATGTTCAGAACAAAAAGTGCCGGTTTTATGAGGGCATAAGAACCCACGAGACCACCATTTTTTAAGTGGAACATTGAAGGAACCCATTTGAGAGGCCATTTTGATGGCGATACGTTCGGATGTACTGTATTTGTTCTTTATATTGTTCATTATTCAAGGAATTCCTTTGTTTGCGCAAAACTTGACACAAGAACGTGGTGTTCATTTGGCTAAGTGGAAGTTCGACGAATTTAAACCCTACCTCTCCATTCTTGGGATGCTCATTTTCGTAAACCTGTTCATGGTATTCTACCCCAAGATACCCTATCTCCCCGACTACGTACCGCAGTCTCTAATCCTCATTCTCATTGGTGCTGCTTTGAGCGCAGTTTTAAAGGCCCTGTCCGCCAACCTTAATGACAGTCTCCTCGTCCTCAGCCCAGAACTCTTCTTTAACTTCCTCCTTCCACCTATCGTACTTGACTCTTCCTATGGCCTCTATAACCGCACTTTCAGTGACTTTCTAGCTAGCATTATCATTTACGCAGTCCTAGGTACTCTCTTAAACTTCTTTATTATTGCTCCGATCATGTATGGTCTCCAAAGAGCTGGTGCTATGGGACCAGATCTCATGGAAATTTCACTCAACAATCAATTCCTATTTTCGGCTGTCATTGTAGCTGTTGATCCAGTAGCAGTATTGGCGATATTCCAAGAGACTGGAGTCAACCTCGGCCTCTACTACGTCGTTTTTGGGGAGTCACTCCTTAACGATGCAGTAACAGTTGTGCTCTATGAAATTATGTGCGAGTTTACCACTGAGGCTTCCATCACACCCGCTAATATAGGCCTTGGTGTCGGCTCCTTTTTTACCATTAGTTTAGGTGGAATGCTCATCGGCTTATGGTTAGGAGCACTTTCATGTATCCTCACACGTTGGAAGTCGCAGTACGAAGCGGTCTTTTTGATTTTTGTTGCATATCTTGCCTACTTTATTACCAACTGTGTTGGTTGGTCGGGTATTATTGCAATGATTAACTGTGGTCTCATTCAAGCTAGCTATGCTTTTCACAACATCTCTCACTCATCTCTAGCCACTCTTGAGATGGCTATGAAACAGATTGCTGAGATATCAGAGGCGGTTACGTTCTTTCTTCTCGGTTTTCAAATTCTCATCACAGAACTTCAGTGGTCCACAGGCTTTTGCCTATGGGCATTTGCGGTCTGTTCTTTCGCAAGAGCGGTTGTCGTAATAGTTCTAACCGAATTCATCAACTTTTTTCGAATCAACAACATACGAATATACTTTCGTGAACAACTTATTATGATTTATGGTGGCTTAAGAGGTGCAGTTGCCTTCTCTCTTGCCTTTTTACTCAAAGATTTGCAGGATGTACCCGAAGAGGTGAAACGTTTAATAATAACCTGCGCTCTCTTCGTTATTCTTGTTACGGTAGGCTTCCAAGGACTCACTATGAGACCTCTGGTCCATTTGGCGCGAATAGAGTTGGATGAGATGAAGCAGTTGAGTATATTCACCGATGTCACACTCCGTTTCATTGATCACACTCTTGCTGGCATAGAAGCAATTGTGGGATCCTTGGGAAGAAATCGCCTTCGTGAAACTATCTTTCGTATCGATACCAAATTCATCCGCCGAGTGCTTCAACGCAGTCCACAAACTCCTGACGACAAAGTTGTGAAAATCTACGAGCAAATCGCCTTGAAACTCCATTTGGCAACCGTGAACCCGGAAGCAAGTGCAGAGTACCTTCATGATCTTCCATCAAGCCTGGTAAAGAAGTATTTCCAAGAGGAGATCGCAGCTAATTCGGAGGTTCTGGAATCTAAAGACGAAGAGGTTCCATTCGGGGCGACAACTGCTTCACCACCAGAGAAGAGGGAACCTAGAAAGCAGCAGCTCCGAAGGATTTCTCGTACTTCGGCTCAGCTTAGACGTAATCCAGAATTGATTCGACCCGTTGGTATGATTTCAGATCACGGTCCTATAAATGAAGACACATTCAAGGAGAAATATGTTGCTCTTATGCGCTTGAGGTCGAAGGATTTGAAGCGGAGTGCAGTGGATGATAAAGTTGAGACGCGAAACGCTTCTGAAACGTCGTCGGATTTATAGGGAAAGGTGTGAAAATAGACGTTTAAAAGTCTCGATTGTGCATAATAAACCTGAATTTTGTTTCTTTTTTTGTTTTGTAAAAAATTTTGACCACGAACTTTAGTATTTTAATCACATTGAGGAACGGCTTGGATTATGGCAGTGAGATTCATTAATTAAGGGAAGTATTCTCAACAGAAATGAAAATGTCAATTTGTGAATGATCACAACCAGATCCAAATGACTGCTTGATATACACAAGATTTTGGCCCCACTGGCTCTTCTGATACCTAACAGTAGGCTCGATTCTTTTAGTGGAATAAAAAATTCATCGGTACAGTTGTCAATAGGATCTCAAAGACGACAACAAACATCGACTTACCACATGTCTGTATGAATAAACAAGCTTAACTGCCTGATGAGGGACTTCGATACTACTGAGTTCTTTATTTGTCGATAAAACCCCAGGCTTAGAACAAAGGAAGTAGATCTGATTTACCACTTGGGCCCCGAGACTTCCCCAAAGACGAACAAAGCCACAATGCTCGGGCGGAAAATGTATTGTTGACGTACAGTAGGGCTTGGGAGCTATGGGTAAGTCCTGCAGACCAGGTCGCCCAGCAAGGATACAGGGGTGGAGATCCTGAGTTGCCCGTTATAAAAACCGAGTGGTAAACAAACAATTAAAGTGCTACACATACAGCTGTATGTTTAAATGGACTTGACAGCACTACTGATTTTGAGTAATGTGGATGGAGCACAATTCTTGTCTTAAAATGCACAAATAACTTGTAAAAAAGTAGTAAACTTGTAGTCACTAGTACCAGAACTAGCTTAGGACTATCACATACTCGTTGATGTACAGCAAGTTGCCTTACCTAAGCGGATAATAGACAATGGGGTGTTTTGGGATTCAAATGTTAAAGCGTTCATTTATATTCTTCTCCATTACCCACGCAACAAAGATGTCATCATGGTGACACAGGGAAGCATAGAACCCAGAGTTCTTGACCTTTTAGACAATAGTGAATCATTTCCAGGTCCTATAAATCCCACTTTTTTGTATTTCTTGTATTATGAGGAACTTGCATTTGTTTGCAGGTATCTTTTACAGAGTTTGTGTTCACAAGAGCTTGCTGTTAAACGCTACAATCTTAAGATGATTTCTTCCAGTAATTTAAATCCCCCCATGACAATTCACATTCCAATTTGACAGAAATAACTATTCATGTGATACCCTCAGACACGCCAAGCTATCATCACTCATTCGATCTTTACCATTTTGACCAAGAAGCCAAAAGATGTGAGGCTCATGAACGCCATGGAAGCGTAATAAAGAAATTTTCTTGTTCCGATTTCGCATGAAATTTTAGTAAAACCGACTCAAGTAGCCTACTACACCAATTATGATGGTGATCAGTAGAGAATCATAGTAATGAAATGCATGCGATTATTCATAAAGATAGCACTTTGTTAGGATCAGAATTGTGAAAGCAGGATACGAACTCACAGCGTAGGTCCGCATAAACTAAACCATGATAAGCATTTGAAGTCAAACAGATTTGATTAGAGCTATCACAAAAATGCATCACTGTGTAATTTGCATAAAAGGACAAGTAAATTTCTGTAAAAAGCTTCCAATTGAAAATAGGCGTCAACACAAGTCACGGGTTATTAGGCACAAGTGTACCAGAGGAACCAATTTAACGCCTTCACTTCAGCTCTCCTACGGAGACTGAAGAGATCAAGTTCTTAAACAGGCAGGAATGAAGATAAGGAGACAAAAGGCACACTCTAGGCACTCAAAGCGACAAAAAATGTTGCTTAAGTCTACAGCTACGGACCCATTTCCATTATTAGTAGACCTTAGAATTCGATTTAAGGTGAATGAAATCACGGAGTCAAACGCTTAATCGCCGATTTTAATGAGAAATAACTTTTCGGCATCAGGCCAATTAAAGCCGCCTGGGATGTCTTATGTCAAAGGTCACCGAAGTGTAGCAAAACGGAGCATCGTCCAGGATATCGTGTCAATAACTAGTATAGTTTCAGATTTAAGATTCTACAGGTAGCTAAGCGATTGTGATTGTGCAGGCAAAATTACGAGAAGGTCACCACATTTGAGCCAATAGTCCTGATGGAGTTGTGATTGATACCAACACCCCCGTACTGAATTATCTGACCCACATAGACTTCTTTATTTTGATGAATGCATAAAACCATCCAATCCATTACGTGCAAAGTGGCCTGCTCATATACCCGAGAAGAGAGATGCAGGCAATCCCAGAACCTTCTGTCTCATGAAGCAAAACTCATACTACTTTTTAACCAATTTACAGGGATGGCATGATTCCTAGGCGCGAATATTACTAGGATTAACTTCTAGCCTAAGCAAGACACCTCAAAATGTGATGTGAAAGCATCTTGAGGGTTTAAATTTTATTTAAATAAAAGTTTCTCAAATGTCGATGGTTTCCATTCCAAAAGCGTTGTACACCAGTCAGCTAATTAATAAAAAAGGCCAATCTTTAATGCCCAACGCAAAGCGACTTTCATGTTAAATAGAACACGCCTGACGGAAACACTTCGGAAATGCAGATAACATGTGTAATAAAAGGATGTAAGGCACATAGACAATACTATCTACAAAATACTAGTGAGAAATGCCCAATAAACCGAACCTATAAAAAAGATTCCTAGTTATCAGCACCAAAATTGAAAGACTTGAAGTAAAGCAAGCAGTATCCAATAGCCCCACCCCTATTTGATTCTCCAATTTATCCCAACTTGTTGGCTAACAATCAATCCATCAGTAATCCACTTATATCATGAGAGGATGGCACAATTCCAAGGCGTCAATACCACTCATAAAATACCGGCCGATCGTGATGGGACCTCGTCGAGATCACATGGCCCAGTACGATTAGGCAGCTACCGTCACAAGGGCACGAACCTAGCTACTCCCCAACGCGTGCTACATTGTCTAGAACTAAGTGCAAAACCCGCTGGGGTTCATGTCGCATTGCTGGTCCACCAGGCCGATACCCAAATCCCGAAAACCATGGACAGCCAATTTCTCCCCTTGGTACTTGCAGCAGCGCTATCGGCTGTGAAAGAGCGCTTGCCCTGTAACAAAGCCACTTCTTACAAAGCACAAAAGAACAAAATCTTGACAATGACCAAACACCTTTAGCCATGGCCGTATACTTTCATCCAACGTAAAACCAGATTTGCTAGAAGACGAAAAAGTAAAAAGGTATGCGAAAATCACGGTATGAAACTTGTGGCAGGGTTCCCAAGGGTGAAGACGGGTAATACAAACATTCCCAGATCTCATAGGATGTCTATGAAAGCACCATAGAAAGTGTTCAACGGAAGCAGCGACGACATATCTTTATTCACAGCCATCAAGTTTTGTACTACTTTCATCATTTAATAAGTCGGTAGAACATCGGAGGGACATTCGGATTATCGACAACCACCATTGGATGAATTGGAACATACTAAAAACTTGATAAATTTACGAAATTAGCTTGCCTGCATCGTAAAGTTCTTTCCAGAAGGTCGCAGACTTTATATAAAGACCAAAAGCTTGGTAAATAAGAATGATTCCAGTCAGAATTAACAGGAAACAAAGAACAATAAGCGGAGCTATTAAGAAACGATATTTCTTGGTTCTTCAGAGAACAAAAAGTCATATTGCTTGTATACCTTTCTTCTACCCTTAACGCGCCGCCATCATCGGAATAATCCTCAACAAAAGTGCCGTCCGACCGACTAGTCAGTAACCGGTACTGATGCATATTTTGTTTAAGGACGGAATAAAAACGGCGTATTATAACATTTCAGTTGCCCCTAAAATTACTCGGTGTACCCGTAAAGCCAACTACAACAATATGCTAAGATTCCAATTTGAGCAACTGTGTTAAAGGGCATCTTAATGTCTATAGTTTAGGTAATTAACCCAGACACTTTGCAATATGCAAGATAACTAAAAATTAAAAAAGGCCTTGAGTGTAGGTAAGTATCCTTTGCTCTGAAGAAAAGCTAAGCATTGTCAAATTAATAACAAGCGATAACATCTTATTTATGCTATTTCTTCTAGTGAGATAAATTTGTCTTTCGTTTCTCAAAATACTACTTAGCCAGAAAATCTAAATGGCTCCTTAAGAAATTTCGTCCTTTATGTTTTCTAATACATCCTTGACTTAATATTTCTTGGGCATTTTACGGAAGCTATTAGGTGAACATTCTTTGAAATGGACAATGGACTAGTTTTGATTTTAAACCTTGTTTTGCCACCAATACAAAGCACGAAGATTTTATGAAATCATCGATAATTTTTCAGGCGGGCACATCTATATTAAAAAAAGGAGTTGTAATATTTCACATTCTTATACAAAGTTTGCCTGATCATATTTGCAATTTTTTATATATGGCAAAGAAAACAGGGGAACCGATAGACATCGAAATCGTCTGTTTATCATATTATTATTCCTTATTTGTTTGTTCTCAATCCCAATTTGGCTACTTTCTTCTCAGTACCACCCATTTATTTTCTTTATTATTTGTTGTGCAGTTGACCCTCCTCAAAATAAGCGAAGCAAATTTTATCGTATTCATCAAGCAAACTATTTCAAGGTTAATTAAAAGTTGTGAATCTTTTATGCCATAACAACTGAGGTTATACATTTGGGTACGAATTTAAATTGCCTTAGTTCTCGTGTCGTAATGTATAGACACAAACTCGGGCCGAATAGTGCCATTTCACGACTACCAGAAATAAGAATTTTTGACAAGAATGCGAGGACCTACATATTTGACCTTTATTTGGTTGATATGGCACGAGTTTATAAGGAAGGTAAAGAAGATAAGCAGTTGATTGGTGAAAACACTGTGAAAGAGATGTTACACACTGCAGTGGGACTCCTCTCCGTCAGCTTAGTCTCCATGGATAAAACAACGATATATGAAGCACTTTTTGAAAAGTCCTCCGTCACACTCTTCTTCATCTCTAGAGATGGTGATTGTACTGAGCGCATAATGCAAACTAACGCTTTAGTATGTCATCATACTCCGTCAAAAGCATTTTGATTAGTAGGTATCTAGAAACAAAACGAATTTAAAGTCTGTGGATAAAGTTAAATTCATGACCACACTGCGAAAAGCCTTTCAAGCTGTCAGTTCTAAAAGTTCCGATGATGATGACACTTATGAATCGGGAACAGAGGAAGCCTCCGATTTCGGTCTTGTCTTTGCCTCTGACATTTCCAGTGGATCAGATGAGGAGGATAATGCGGAAGGCAAAGCAGAACACATTGAAGGGATTAGTAAAGGCACCACCGAAAACAGAGATGATGACAATGACACCACCGAAGAATGTTGTGATAACAAAACCGCACTTTCATCGGAAAGTAGCTCCGAAGAGACGGATGAAGAGACTGCAAAAAGGTGTTCACAGGGTTACCATTCCTTTTTAGCTTCGTGTTTGGAAAGAAAACTAAAGATAAAAGAAATGTTTTCGGATAAGAGTGCTAAAAATTTGCGTAGTAACGCTCTTCTACCCTTGCTTGGACCTGAGAACAGAATCGCTGCAGTTTGCAACTTCCGTGCTAGGAAAGTTGATACCAAGAAACGCGTGATTCATATTACCTTTTTGTCAGTGAGGAAACATCTTCGTAGGTTGGGGATTGGCACCCGAATCATCGATATCATTAAAACGCCTCAGATGTCGGGCCTCTATGATGCCATGGTGGTACATGCCGACCTGAATGCTACCGAATTTTTTGCAAGAAATGGCTTTTCAGGCGACCCATTGCTGAACAAGCAATGGGCCTCTTTTGCTGGTGAATATGTCAATTGTCTTTTGATGACTTACTTCCCACCACTTTCCTTCGGTTCACCCACAACTAGCAGCTCAAAGCTGCTTCAATCTATTGATAAGTCCATTGATAACTGGTTAGTTGCTACGGGAAATGTGCACCAAATGCAGTACACTCTGTGCAAGCGACTGCGTGCTGAGGTGGTGCGGCTTCAAAATCAGCTTCTATCCCAGGTTAGCTTGATATTGTACTCCAATCAATTCTGTGATTGTTTTAATAAAAGAAGGCTTTTGCTCTATTCCCAAATCCTTTTCAGTCAATGCAATCACTGTAAGTGTTGGGTTCCTTAGAGCATCATACTCATCGGGTTTTTGATATTTCAAGCAACCTTTATCAGGTCGTACTGGTTTACCCGTTTATACGTTTCCAAAATCACCAACGTCTCTATGAAAAGCGAATCAAAATCTGACGTTTTTATTGGAACAGCCAATGAAAGTTCATGCCTGGTTCAGTATTGAATTGAGACTGATGGAAATAAAACCTTCTCTTAATGAAATAACATTTGTATGCTTAAGTCTATGGTCTACTGCCACAAAGTTTTAAATAAGCACTGTTTTGTTTTTTCCCCAGTCATGTTTATCCTCACCTTGCATTTAATGCGAACGCTTTCAGGACAGTCTCGTGCAGGTGCTAAAACGTGAGGTGGTAAAGCAGGCACACATAATAGAGGGGCTTCGTGGACGTTTGCAGAAGTGCGGCGGTGACGTCGACGCCGGGACTTCCGATCCCGATACAGTCACATTCACCATGCTTCCGCCCCCTCTGGATCCCGAATCCCAACTCTCAATAAGCTACAGTGGCGTCCTCTTCAGGGACTGCGCCGGTGATACGGACTAGAGAACACAGGTAAATGGTATCTCTTTTTCAACTTCTCTGCTACTCCTTAAAGCATAAAGGCGGGCTTATTAGCTAAAAGCCTAGAAAAAATAGCAGACGAATTGAAAATTAGCACAACCTAGCTCCCAGTTTGGCTTGATTTCTAGTCTTGCATCATTTTTTGAAAGTTTTTTAAAGATTTTATAATAGTTCACTGAGTGGATCGGCCGAAAAGTCAAAAATTTGATTGTATGAATTGATACGCGTCAATGAGTATAAAAAGGAAAACGGAAACATCGCAGCATTCACTGCATCTATCGTAAATTGGAGGTACTGTTAGAATATATCCAGTTGGACCATCATGTTTGATCTAATTTTAAAGTAGCATCGGATCATAGGCGCAGGCGTAGGTTCTCTGTTTCTCACTCAGTAATTATGTCAGTGAAATTTGTTTCTTTAGGTTAAATTCCTTAGCTAACATCGTCTCTAACCAATTTGTTAATAGCCATTTTAATGGGATGTAATTTCGGAGACACTACTGGGACCATTTTGAAGGGTTGGAGCGATTTCGGGGCTGCAGAGTAGTCTTTTAAGTACTCTCCAGCGTGCCAAAAGGAAATTTTTTATCCACCTGAAATCCAGCACATTCGTCAAAACAGTATACATTTTGTGGGTACACATTCGCTCCCTTATAAAGCTCAATGCCAGCACGTCCATGCATCTTGCCTAGTCAGTTCACTGAGGGCATTGTTTTCTCAGCCTGATTAGTGCAAACCGAATTCATTTCCCTTACTTATTTATGGGGGTCTTTTTATAGTTTTCACAAGAATAAAAATTCCTTATTGCACCCATTGCACATTGAATCATGATGTTTTCGTATATAAAAATCAGATGCAAAAAACACTGCTTTTAATCACTGCTTCCCATTACTACCGATCATACTTTAATTCTAACCTGTGATGGTGAGAGTTATGGCTTTAGGGGCAGTTAGAAACATGCAGGTTCTGTCAAACTTTGTTTTTCGAATAGCAAAAAATTTGTTCACCACGCATTGGAATGAATGAAGTTGATTGGCAAAGTGATGTATGCCCTAGCGATCAAATCTAACCGAAGGGAAAAAAATAATGTCACATTGTTGCCTATTCTAAACACTAAATTTAAAATTATCGCTAACTGTCCATTCTATACATTACCGTTTCGTAATTTGAAATACAATCGAGAGCTGCTTTTTTCGGCTTCTTAGTCCAAAAGAGGTGTGCAGGTCACATAAATGCCTTCCCTCAAGTGTGATATTGAGAATGTAGCGCCTTGCGATTTCCTTGAATAAGAAAGAATACATAATACTGCGGTAGAATATGTTTTACTGACACACAAAAGGGCTAGAGGGCTGCTAGCATGCCCCACAGGCCAAACTGTCGAACCAAAGAAGAGAGGTGGAGTCTTTAGCGCCCGCGAAACCACAACGAAGAGTTAAACAGATTGTCCAAGCATTATAGTAATAACAGACGGTCATCGTCACACTTATCGTCCAAAATCGAGAGGCTAAACATCCTTAACCAGCATTTGAGCTTGCCTTTTGACTTGGCTACAAAACAGCCTAATCATAGTCAATTAATTGAAGATTTTGGTTTCGAGTAGATTTTATCTTCACCTTTTTCACATTTTTAGGTCAAAGCAGAGCCGCTGCTTGCTGTCCGCCAGAGCTTTCAACCATAGAAAAAACCGAAGATGCTCCCAAACTAAGCCCGCTTTAAGCTTCCTTCATCTCCTGACAACGCCTACTCTGGTCTGACCACATTCAAAATTCCAACTAAATATCAAAAATTGTACCAATGCTTGTATTCTTGCGAATTGTCAATTTGAAAATGCCATTAATTGTTCAAATTCTAAACTTCTAATCTAAATATAAATAGCTATCCGAGTCAACTAAGTGGTAGATTGTCTGCTAACAGGGAATTTACTCTTTGACCAAAGTGAGTCTGTTTTTGACTGTTTAAGTTGTCACAATGCTCTTTACTCCTTGAATAACAATTACAGGATGTTCAACTAGGGTGCGACATTGGATTGTTTTTTGTCACGCGCTCATATGATTGTGGTCTTTTTGCATTTTTTCAATGCTTTCTACAGGGGAACACTTTCCAAATATTTAGAATTTGTCCTTGTTACCACCGAATACAGAAGTTGAATTTGTAGTGGCTGTTCAAGCTTGTCACTAAGTTCAAGTTGAAAAAATCGATGGTCACTCTGACCTCAAAACCAAAACAACTGATTGGGTAGTTCGTATTTGTGGAAGGCATGAACCAAAGAGAGAGCCTTTTCGCAGCGCAAAAAAGTCTGATCGCACCACGGCTGGATCCGACCCCCACGATCACTGTATGCACTAAGGATCGGCGAATAAAATACATCGTGCCTTCGGTTTTCGCTTCCCAGAGCGCCAGCTATTTCCGCAATCGACGTCTTCTGGATGTGTCCACCTTTGTAAAAAAAGTCACTGAAAAGATTGACTCGAATGCTGCAAAGATTTCCAACAGCTGCAACAAATTCCCTGCTGGTGTACGCCTTGTTATAATCTCATTAGTATGTGATTTGAGAAAATATCCGAAAATGCACTTTAATAGTAGGGAAATTGCTACAGTCCTGCAAATATACTACACCATTGTCGGATTTAAAGTGAGGCTAATGACTCAAATGGAATTTGAGGACTTTTTAGTCGGCTGTTTGGGGATCACCAACTCACATACACTGGCAGGTATAAAGCGAGTCACAGTGCATCTGCGTGATGACAGAAGACGGTCCGATAAACTAGGAATCCCACCCAGTAACTTTGTCCTTATGCTTTCCATCTACCTACGTGGAAGCCTTCTTGAGAGAGCCGAACTCGCCTTCCAGATTATGGATATAGATCGAGATGGTCTATTGCGTAAGCAGGTAGAGTTTCGACGCTTTTTGGCGGGGTCTTTTGAACCCGAAATCGCAGCAACTCATGCTGACATCGATCCTGATCAACCGGTGCGAGAGTCGATACAATATTTGGAAAGTCTTCCTGCTTCGGGCTCCGATGGAGGAATGAACATGACCAGATTTAAGGAAATGACCGTAAAACAGCCTTGGATTATTGACTGCCTTTTGCCTATCACATGCCGTGAACTCCATAACTTGGCTTTTCAAAATCTGCTGACTGTGAAACCGCTTAGACAAAAGTGCAAATAGGATCTGTGGAATTTGGATTGTAGTCTCCTGCCCACTTTACCTGCGTGGGCCTTTTGTAGAATTTTTACGTTTATGTTTGCTATGGAAAGGAACCATTTTTAGGGAGCACCACCTATCTTGTTGTATCTTTCTTGGGAGAATGATAGTTGGGATTCGGCAAATTAAGCATAACAATAGTGTGAAAAGACTAGAAAAATAATAGCTCATGCATACAAATAGGGTTCGCTTAAGTAATAAAGTAATATATAAAAAGGGTCTTTTAATTACAGAAATGTGAATTTGTCTTGGAGTTTAGTGTGACCGAAAAACTTGTTCAAGAGCTTAAATAGCATGCAGAACTAGTTCGAAATGAACGGTTTTAAGGTTATATGTTGGAAACGTCAAAACACTGCCTTTAACTTGCCCTCTTGCGCCTACACGTCTGCCCCGATGTTTGAATGCTGCTTGTTATTCATCGGTGCTTAGGATGTACCGTTTTTGGCAATCCTGATTTTTCTATTTGATTGTGCTCACCGTTTCTCCCGCAAGAGGATATATTCCTTGTCTCCTTCCCGTTGTGCGATTTAGCTGCACCACAAGTAGTGCTGACATCATGCCTTTAGGATGCAGTTGGCGTTTTACACACTCTCTGTGTGTTTATAGTGCTGACTAACGAGGATGATGCTGAGGTCGAGACCGCGTGTTGGGAAAGGGGCCACCATGATCGAGACCGTCACTGACACACAGGTGTGTAATTAGTAGTCCTTTAAATGGTTACACCATTCATGCGCCTAATTTCTAGGTTGCCGAATGTCCGAATGCCTAAGCGTCGCATTATGGGAGAGATTGAGTTTGAAGTCATCTGCAGGCACCAGTACATCTTCATTGATGGAAAAATTTGCTCGTGACCACACGTTGCTGGATGTGTGTATTTAGCATGAGCCTTGGTGGCTCTTGATAAAGGGTGTCTGCACTGAACTGGCCCACGAAACGTGAGCCTGGTATTAGTACTTGTAATAGGTCGCACACCTGCCACACCTGTTTCCATGTATAGTAGCACATTTGTTTCTTACCATTCCAGCATAATTCCCAATTTCCTTTTGCATTACCAGTCACTTGTGACACAAATTCATCAACAGGAGTACCCCATTAACAACAATACAAAAATGTCCCATCATAATTTACCACATGGGTAAAATTCGTAAAAATGGTGATTCAATCAAAATTTCCAAGCCCAAATCAATTGTAATGCGTATGCCTTGGTCTCCGCTCTGGTCACCAAATTACTGCGCATCGAAGACTTTTACTTCTCACCATTTAACCTTTCAATAAAAAAACATCAGATATGTCTTGCCTGGTCTTTAGGGATTTGAATTGCAGTATAAATACTCCGCGAAAGTCACACTGCTGCAATGAACTCGTGTTCTTCTGGCTAACTCCAACGTTCTCTAAGCATGTGGGTTAACTTTCATCCATCTCTCAGTTTAGTCGTAAAATTCTAACAAACGCTCTTACGAGCGATTTCCATCAGTCAAATTGCTGGCTAACTGCTCATTTCCCATCTGCATGCTATCATTTTTCAATTGTTTGGTGCCAACATGCACTTTTGCATGACGAAATTGAACTGATTAAATTGAATATTTGCTGCTGCCAGTTATTCTAGCGTCTTTTCAAATAGGCTTCAAGTTGTTATTATACTTGCCACCGATAGGGTCCGTCAAAAAGAAGGCAATTTTTTATTGTATTATTAAATTAGGGGCTAATTTGCCCACGCTACTAGAGACGAAACGTTTGCCAGCAAAGGGGTGAGTTTAAGTGACCCTTTAATGAGATAAAAAGCAAAAAATCGCCTGAAATTTGTGCAAAAAATACTCGCCTAGGAATGCTCTTGTAATTTGAGTGTTCTTGTTGATGGTTGTCTTGCCAATGCGCTTGCTCGAATTCATTCATTTAATCCGCTAATTCTACATACTAGATGCATGTGTTAAAGGAAATAAGCCAATCATCTTTCTGAATTTCCTAATTTTCCACATTTAAATTTTAGAGGATTTTTTAAAGAGTTGGCAATTTGTCAGTCAGAAGATAAGATGAATCAGCATACAAACTAAGCACATCACTACCGGAACCTATTCTAAACAGGTTCGTATTTCCAGATCTCTCCAAAATTCCATCTTGCATTAGGACACTTGACCAATGACCCATGCGGCGTAGGCCATCGTGTGCTAAATCAAAAATGCACAAGTTTACTCTCCTTCAATGCGTGCACAATCACGCCATTAGGTGCAACATTAGACTTCAGCACCCAATCAGGTCAATTCTCATAAATTTGGAGTCAGACGCAGGCCTCAATTTGATGAGTAAGTTACACCCGGCCTTCTTAACCAATGGGAGGCCACGACCGAGTTTTTCATCTCTATTGGCCGCCACATTGACTAATCAGAAAAGTGCCCTGCAAAACCTATTCAATCGCACGCAACTGCAGTGTTGAAAGCACTCCATGCGCGTCTCCTTTGATGACGCCTCAGTGGCAGGTTATCTGGCTCCTTCTAATTTGGTCTCTTCTCACCGTCCTTGCCGCAGGTATATGTTCCACCTGTTGCCTCCTGCCCTTCTGGATAGCCGGAAGCGTTGAAGTAACCGCATCTGGGGGCAAGGTGAGTAGCAATGTGAGTCATTTGGGTCTGTTTCGCCGATGCGGCTACCTAACGTATCGGTCGAATGGAGATGTGGAGTGGATACACGGATGTGGTTACTACCCCTCGTTGGAAAGTGTGCCTCACTGGGTTTGGCGTATGGCTCTGGTACTCCTCATCATGGCTGCCTGTCTTCTCGTCTTCCTGGCGTTTTTTGTGATTTGTGCAGGAGCCTGTACGCCTCTGCTACGAAGGAATTCAAAGCTGTCGCGCGCCTGCTCCTACGTCTACCTCGTTGCAGGTGAGATTGTGCTGCACGATATCAGCACCAGGGGATAGCTGAGTCACCACAATCCTTCTACCCCTGTGCGGAACTTTAACAGCTGTTCCAAATTGTCCCCTTAAGGCTGGATTGATGTCGAGGTCATATGGAATAAGTAACCCCAAGGTCAGACACTAGACTACCTAATTAGGGTAAGGTGCTGATATTAATTTCCGCTTCAGAGTCAGCTGTTCTTGATATGTTTACAACCTTCGTCGCATTCATTCCATATTTTATCAGAACTGATTCATTTGTTCTCTGACAAATGAAAATAAGTTTTTCTCGAATCTCACTGTTTAAACAATTGTCAAATCATTCACAGCTTCGCGATATTTTATGGAAGCTGAACGAAACAGGAGAAAATTTTGAGCATTTTTTCGTTGGTTTTTCATTCAAATGGTTTGTGTAAAATTGGACATTTTAAAGCCCATCCTGAGACCTGGTGCAAGCCATGACAACTGAGGTGTGTTGAAAATTAGTCGAAGTATGGTCAGTAGGTAGATGCAAATTACTGGACCATATATGTGAATTATGTGTCCTTAAACAACACATTTAGTCAAAAAAATTCCGAACATTTGATAGAAACGGATTCTAAAGATGACAGTTTTGTAAAGTATACCTCGAAACATCCAAAACAACTTCATTTTGCTTACTCCTGATTATTTTGCTAATTCTTTACAATCTTCGGGTGCTTGAAAACAAAAATGAAATATGGTAGACATTTATGGTAAGTAAAATTGGCAGGTAAGTTGGGACACAATTTACCAAAGATTTGACTCTAATTAAGGCTGCTAACGATAAACAAATTTTCGAGTTACACCCTCCATGCCGAGAGGTGCAACAACAAAACAGGTAAGTCAATCAGAGAGTCCCGCAAAATTCACTTCTTTGCCGGCAAATCTTTTCCCCTCTTGTGGTGGTGATAAATATGCCTGTAATTTAATAAGGAATTCAAACAAGCAACCTTTTTCTGAAGGTCAATCTTTCACTAGCAAGTTTAATTTCATTTTCAATCCTGTTTAAGCATATTTTAAAGTGACTACCCTCTTGGAGAATTTGTTGTGCTAGATGTTATAATTATTCAATTGAATTTTGAAAAATGAACCTATGTATCGGCCGCAAATAACCGAAACATGGCAGCAGTATCATGGTAAGTGAGCAGTCATTCTGCAAATTGCCCATCAAAAATTACTTCACTTGAATGTCGTCACTCATTAATTTCTTGCAATTTGTTTTGGGTAGCATTCGTTAGAATTCACAGACAAGCTAAGGCAAAGGTCGCAGTTGACTTGCCTATCAGATGAAGTTTGTTGGAGTTGCTCAAAGAAATACAAGTTCGGTGCAAGGGTGTGAAAGTGGCGGAGCATTTTTGCCACAATTCAAATCCCGAAACACCAGATAAGACGTACTTGACTTTTTTTTCTGAGTGGTCGACTGTTGAGAAGAAAAAGTCTGCGAAGCGCAGCAACTTGGCGACTGGAATGCAGATGAAGGAGTAAGCGTAATTTTGATTTAAGCTGCACTGGATGTGGTCTTGTCGAGTTCGATTCGATCATCTATTTTGCGAGTTTTTCTTGTGTTATTCCCTATCTGTGTGAGCTTGGGAAAGGTAAATAATGACACCTCCTCTTTGTGTTGAATAACTAACGAATGGCAATGCATGCTACCACAGACCTAATGAATGCAAGTGGCTCAGTTGAAGTGTTACTGGAAAGTCTCTGGTAATGTGGGAGGAAATAAGATTTTTTATTGCAGTGGCAAGAACTAAGTCCTTAGGTGCTCTCTTTGGTAGTCTTTTATATTAAACTTTTTTCTTAAACTCTCCTTCTGTGGGGTAGAAACGTATTATTGATGTTGATTTCCTGCTATGGCGGGAAATTTTTGAAATTCAATAGCAAGAGCTAATCGTATGGATTTCTGGTTATTGAAAAACAAATAAACTACCTTTGCTGTGTCCAAATGCATTGATTTTGATAGTTCATACCATTGATTTCATCCGGTCGCTGAAACTTTTTAAGTAGTGCCAAATTTCTTATTGATGCTATGCAGTTTCTTTTAAGGAAGTTCACTTATCCCTCTTGATTCAATGCTACTATACTAACGCTTGATTAAGTACATTAATTTTTATTAAGAAGTAGCTATTACTATGAAAAGGGAGGGCAGCTTCTGATAAAATTGCCACACTGTCGTTATTTTCAATGGAGTAGCCATGCGTACTTTTCAAAGGGTCAGTTCATCTGGATTAATATCATTCTTCAAATGCTGCAAAAAAGACAGTCAATTCGATGATTTAAGCGAATTGTTACTGGTAGAAGAATAAGAAAGTGGCGCGTTGAGATCATTAATCATTGTCATCGTACCCCAAATTTATGCCTTGGAAACTCACCTTATCCAAATGGAAGGTTAGATAATAGTGGAACAAATAAGTTTTCAGTCCTCTTTTTCATATTTCCTTGATAATTTCCATTGACATTCATGGTTAGAGCGCATCTTGTGCTCATTTTATAGTAAAATCAAAATTGTTTTTGAATTACGGTAAAATCCCAGTGCTTTTGGACAAAGATTCATGTTTTTAAGCTAGTTGAAAACGATGCCTAATGATGCACGACCATAGCAAGGCCTAAAAGTTATAACAAACTTTACTACCACATTTGCCAGATTACGTAAATGTTTAAATCGCACTGTTACCGTGATTACTTTCTTCCTCGAATTAAAATATTGGGAATTATGGTGGCATCCCCCGATCTACCTCCACGAAGCAGTTAAGTGCGATTAGATGAGCTGTAACGTCCTTCGTTCTCAAAGTCACCCTGTGATCCATAATGGGGCTATTCTTCACACGTTCCACAAATACTATGAGAAATATAACTTCTTAAATGTAAAGCATTTAAAGCTTTTTTTCTCTCTTAACTCATAACTTGCACGTTGTCATGTCATAATCATCGCCTTAGTACCACAAACGTCACTTTTGAATGAGTCATCCAAGGGGAGTATGCCAAGAGCGACAAGGGCAGGTTTCCTTTTCCTTCCGTGAACATTTGAGGAAGGTTGCCAAATACTTGTCGTCTTGTGGGTGGAAAAAAACATACGCGGATTTCATGAGGAAAAGTTTCATTCCATTTCCCATATTTTGGCAGCAATAATGTTCCGCCTTTTGAGGTTTGACGGTTTCTAATCAATCCTCTGCCAGTTATTTTATCAAGATTTTACGTTTATTGAACGAGTTCATGCGATATTTGCTTCGACATGAAGTTGCATATGTTAAGTTTGAATAAGCATCCCAATCGCTTGGTTTGAAGCGGTGGCTAATAACGTAGGTTTCCTCAACTCACATTACTTGGGGAACCGGGTTGCTTGTCATGGTAGTTTTCTGCTTTCTAACACACCAGCGTCTTCTAAAACACGAAAAACAGAAAGCTAGCACGGCAGAAATAGTTTAGTTTGTAAATGAGCAATTTTTTCGCTAATTTTTGCGAACTCAGGGAGACAGTTTGTGAACGGTAAGGGCTGAAATGATAGGATAGATCTTTTGCTGTGTTTCATAACATCTATCGGAAATGAGAGATTCAAGCATATTTTTAAGTTATTCAAAGGCAATCCACAAGTTTTTGAGATTGTATGGGAAAACTGAGTTCTTAAATGCGAATTGTTCTGGTGATAGAATATTATTTTTTTTCTGATTCCCTTTTCCACTTTGGCCTTTAAACTTTTCAGATGCCTCTAATTTTCGGTGAAAAATTGTGCAGAGGCGATTTGAATTTCGGCCAACTGTTGGTGCCCCTTTTCCTCCCCGCGCATAACAACAAAGTAATCATTGGATACTCTTTTCCTTCATCTGTCACCTCTTTGATCTCACCAAAAAGCTGTACCACGTGCTTAGCGCGCTCTGGATTGGAAGTACGAACTGCGGTTTGTGTGACCTGTACCTTTCAATTGTACGTTTTAACCACAAACAAACGGATGTGAAAATTGTCTAAAATCGGATCTTGGGTTATATTATAGTTTCGGCCCAATTTACACACAATATGCATAACCAAAATAGCTGCGTCATGCTAATACAAAGGAGCTAAAAGACTTGTGCAACCAGCTTTATGGACGAGGTTTTATGAAAAACCGTTTTTAAATTTTAGTAATCTTTCATATGGCAACGTTTGTTTAAATGATTAGGATTATACGAAGAAGATCACTGGATTTTTCTTTACTTCCACTTCTTCTTTGCTGGTCTGATCCTCCCCGTTCATGTATTCTCATTTTATTGCAGCCTGGACAGGTAATAGATCCTCTTTTTCAGGGAACTGTTCTAGCTTTAGACTGATGAACCAAAATTCGCTTCGTTCCTTGATTTTTTACTAGACGGCCATCTTAAACATCGTTTTTTCATCCTTAGTTGCGGGCAGGTTTGTTCAACGCGAAGTCTCTTTGGAGTGAGAGCGTACCTCAATCCATTTTTAAACTAAAGCATTTTTCTCGAATTGTGCTACTATCAACAAAGCCATATGATGTTTAAAACAGACTAATATGGAATTGTTGCGAAACCTGTTGAATGTACTTGTTGATTAGGATCAGCGATTCCAGTTTACTTTTAGGCCAAACAATTGTAAGTTTCCTCGGCGAAAGATACCGGTAGCTGTTAAGACTTTTTATGGTAAGCCAGTTTTTTAATGACTGGTTGTCAGGCCATCATATTTATGACCGTATTTCGTGGCAGAAGGCAAGCCGCATTCGAGTTTTCAAATGTCGGCGTATTTTTGAACCAAAATTAAATGCCCATGCTTGATTTTGATCCTCGGTGCTTCCTTCGGTTTTGGAAGAATTTGCAGCATTTCATTCAGTCCGGAACACAAAAGCAACTGTTCAACTCTAATCGTTGGGTAAAAACCACTGGCTTTACTGTCAACTTTGGGTTTTATTATTAATCTTCGGGTTATTGAATATGATTGAAATCGGAATCCAGAATAATTACAGATCATTTCTTCCACCTCGGGTGCAGTCACTGACAAAATAGTCCCGACTGCAATCAAATCAACCCATCAAAAATACGCCGTTAAGCATCATTCCCGGATTATGTCTATGAAATTTAAGCCTGAAGGTTTTATTGGACCTTTGCATTTTCACACTTCTCCCCTTTTACCCAATTAACAGTGAAGCGGTCAAACATTTTGCGCAACACTTCAAACACGGTAATTGGAGAGTAAAATAGTTTAACGCTACCTAAAGTACTTAACTGGAACTGATTGATAGTGATTCCATATGAAGCGGGAGTTCCTACCATAAACTTAAAAAGAAAGTAACAAGGCATCGTGGCCGAATGGAGGAACTTTTGTCTGCAGACTCTTGCCTAAACTAATAGCGAACTTCATTTAGAAATTTAGAAAATTAAGGCCCTCTCTAACAATTTTTGAATTAAAAAAAATAGATGTTCTTCATTCTTGTCTACTTTTAGGAGCTCTTTGTCTTGTCGCTTGCTTAGTGTATCCTTTTGGGTGGTCTAACAACTCAGAGATTTTGCAAATTTGCGGCCCTGGAAGTGGAAGCTTCAAGTTAGGTAACTTCTAGTTTAAATATGCTCATGTTCTTTTGTTGTATGCGATACTTCCTAAGTCATCGTCGCATTTAAATGCTCGCTGCACAATTTAAACAAATACTAATAATATAATCAGTAGTAGTCTACTTATACCGAGTTAGTAGCATTAAGACATGGACGTTGAGTGATATATCTTTAGGGTAAGTTCATTAGAAAGTCAGAGTGACATGTAATGAATGCTATGGTATCATTTGATGCTATTAGCCAGTAGTATGTACTGCATTCAGGTCGTTGCGAGGTTGGCTGGGCATACGTGATGACAATAGCAGGTGGCGTGATCAGTGTGGTACTGTCGGGAATGCCGAACCTTCTACAGTCCCTCCTGCAACGCAACGCTTTACCACCACCGCTGCCACCCAGTGATGCGAAATACTCTTTTCTACCTCCTAGCCACTTCTACCTTCCCCACTTCCCTCCACCATGGTACATCGTGGAACCCTCAATGTCCTTGCATGGCAACGGCGGTGGTGTCAACTGCAATGTTAGGAGACGTCCACACTCTCTTATGGTCCCATCTGATTCCAGCGCCTTGTGGGATCTCACACGTCGTCTTAGCTGCTCTGTTTTCTGCTCTATCCCAGAGCAGCAGCAAGCTGAATTGGCCCCAACCAAGCCCTCCGTGAGTCGACTTATGAATATTTAAGTAGGCTTACAGCATTATCGGTTGATTAAAAATGAATAAAGAGTCCCTCATCAATGTTCCACTTAACAGTCCCGTAGGTGGTCAATTATATGGCTCTTTACATTTCTACGGTCGCGTAAAATTTACTTTCAGATGGAGGATGAGTAGGTAAAATAAAATACCAGTGTATTTACCTGTGGTATTGTTGAACTGATGTCTATTATTAATATTTGGATGGACAATAATAGTCGATTAAAACCTTCCAGAATGTATTGCTACCATCGTTATTAAGTCTGAATTTTCTCAAAAAACAATTGTAACGGAAACGTACACGCAATTACGTTGGCGCCAATATCCCAAATTTTCGTGACTCATGGGATCGGAAGGACTGTGCAAAACTGCAATATATCTTCGCCTTTCCTTCTGCTTAACTAAAGGCAAAAACAGAACAGACAATTCAATTTAGCATTTGGAAACCGTGAGATTCTTCACTCACTGGATGATTCAAACTCTACTAGCACGCAGTGGAGTCTTATCATAAAGGATAGTATTGCAAAATTTCCCCACAGTACAATTTCCCCGTCGAAAGAAACCCATGCAATATAAGTAAACTGTGATTGGCTGAATACCTAAATGTTAATCGTTTTTGCTTATTGGAACACACTTAACTTATGTAATTTATTAAGGTTGCCCCATGATTGCACAATGGATTAATACAAGGATCAGTGCTCCACAGATTTCACAACCACGACCTGAATAAAGCCTGTTTACCTTTCAACAGGAAACGGCTGATCAGGTGACTTAGTAAAGGAAGAGGGAATACACGTAGTTAGGCAAAGCAAAGTGTTGCACTTTCCCTGACAGATTTTTTAAAATTTTAGGAATGTCAGTCCATTACAGCCTTACCAGAGGACGAAATAATCATCAACACCATGGAAAAGGATAATAATGAACATCCCGATAATGGCAAAATTACCAGC